TATAAGCACTAAGAACATACACCTGTTACTATTAAAATTCTCAAGTCACGTACTTTTATCAGTTTTGAAGTACACAATGGCTCTTTTTTCATTCACTCTCCGAGCTTTCACTTCTTCCTCGTTGGTGATAAATTTCTCCACCACACCAAATTTGTCAAAGTAGTTTTCAAACTCTTCTTGTGGGGTATTCTCAGGGATTCCGCGAACAAAAATGCTCTTGCAGACTGGTGCTCTTTCAATCAGTACGTTTACTTTCTCAAGTTGGTTTTTTGGCTTTGCAGCCTCCTCGCATATCATGGCAAAATCTGAAGGGGAAAAAAGTAAGCAACAGATCACGTTCAGCGCCATTTGCAGTTGCATTGTGTGGCATTTTGTCATTAGCGGGTAAGCAGCGGATCGGCGAAAGGAAACGCACGTGGTGCTTCGCTTCATCAGGATTTTCTTTTATTTCAAAACGGCAGAATTACAAAAGCAGGTTACCCCATCAGACTGAAAACCTCATGGGCTTGTCGAGTTAGAAGGTAATATGCTTAATGAAAATGAATGAGTATAATTAATTTTGCAGAAATTAAATGACATAATAAAAAGGAAAGAATTACTGCGACTAAAAACGTCATACTGATAAAAGGAGGAAAACAGAGCTAAACCTTGACGGGAAGTCACACATGTGACACAAGTCAGAGGTTGCTCCCAGTAGAGAAAGTACTATCAAATGAATGTCATATCAAAACGCAAAAGACATTACAAAAAAAAAAGACTCAATGGTCTACTGAAGACACAAAAGGGTACGTTGTTGTAATAAGTTGCACCTGCGTGTGAGTTTAATCTCCAATTGTCACTTGTATTTACTTGTTATACACAATCACCTTAATGCAGCACACGATGCAACGTTTGGGTGGAATATCGTCCAGCATACAGTATACAACGTACGGCTTTCCTGTAATCTGTTTGACTGTAGATCATCGTCTCTTGCATAAATATATAAATGTTCAAGAATTGGGACTCCGAAAGGAATTCAGTTTAATTGTTAACTTGTTTTACTTTGGTGCTCTAATGTGCAATTCTTCCTCCAAGTTTCATAATTGGTTACCTGAGTTTGTGATCTTGTCTGTGTCCAACGTTACAATGGCCCTTCCAGATTTAAACATCAACACGCGCTTGACATCACAGCCACTAATCCTCGCAATGAAATTCAGCACACAATCTTTAGTTGTTTTGCTTCTTAAACCCAAAACATACAACTTGTTCCGCTCGTACAAGACGTTCTTCAGGATATATCCATGGTCTGATCTGTTGTTAGTTGCTGTGTTGAAACCAAAGTTCATTAGTTCTTGATTATTGACTTAACACAGTCTGGATTCGCGCGCGCTGGTTGGTTTGGAAAGCATGTTTTGTCAAAATCTATGTTACAGGTTGGATTCTAGATTAGCATTGCTCGACTTAAAAGCTGTTTTTCAGAACATTTTAAAGGCAAGAAAAACGTGTCGCGTTCTCCTATCTCGGTTCATATTCATCATCAAAAAATTCAACCAGAGTCTGAGGACATGGGAGTCAGGGCCATGGGTATTCCTTCGTCACGTTCGCATAAAACACTCTGGTAAATGTAGAAAAGACCTGCCCGCGGCCCACGTTTTCTAAGTTTTATAACTCCACTCGCCTACACGAATGTTATACTTCCACATGCAGCCTGTGTAAAGTTTTCTTGCGTTTATTAAGCCAATCAAATTCGACGTGTTTTTGCAAAACTACAAAACTACAATGAAAACTCACCCCCTCTCCCTCGGCGCCATCCAGGTCTGTTATCAGATCCCCGTCCTCTTTGACCTCTACCAGTCCTTCCGGGACCCTCCACGTACGGTGATTTCTCAGGACCCCTGCCTTGCGAAAAAGGTGGATTCGGGGATGGACCTCTACCTTGACCTCTTCCTCGTGACCTTCCGGGTCTTGAACTTCTTCCTCCTCGCCAACTGCCATCTTTGCGAGAGTCTGAAATAATGACGTATGGTAACACCAATGAGAAAAGTTTTTATTTTTGTTTGCAGTACATCCCATCTTGAAACCAAGGTTGGCAGTTGTTTTTTCTTTGAAAATATAAAAGCAGAGATCGAACTTAAGATGATTTTTTTAATGGTGTACTCAGTATTTTGGCTAGCCAAACCAGGCTTCTTCAGGTACAATAAGCATTTTACATTCGTAGTGCTGTTTAAGTATAAGTGACTATGGTTTTTGCGTAATACCAGAAATATGCAACACTAAACTGATTGACAGTGAAAATTAAAGATAAGAGAAAATACAATTATTGATAATATGGTATCAGCGAAATAGCTATTATGTTTCTTCGTGAATGTTAAGACGGTCAGGGTCAATTGTTCTCAGGCCTTTTTGAAAATTAAAGGTTTTTGGCCTTTCGGATTGAGCCTGATGGACTCTTCTTTCGAGGATTGTCTTTTGAACTGCTTTGCTGTGATATTTGCCTATAAGGACATTCAATGTTTTTTAAGCTCCGTCTTTATATTATGTCAGAGTGAAAGTTCACAACGACAGAGATTTGTTCTATTTGCATGGGTTGATTGGATATAAAGCTGCGGAAGAGAACAACACGTCAGGTTAGACTTTCCATTTTCTCACAGTAAACGCGCAGTGCATGTTGATTGCTTCTCATGGTCCAGTTCACAGTATAATCTTCAAATCGGAAGTAATTCAGTGCAAGTAATGCGTTAACTGAAATTTATATTAGCATTGGACAAATTTTAGTTTCATACATTGATCGTATCGGATACTCTCAGTATTACAGAGCACGTTTGAACTTCGTGCACTGATAAGCTCAATCTAATATAAATTTCTCCCACTCAATGCACTCCGTTTCAATCTCGTGTACAAACTGTGCAGGGTATGAGTATAACACAGTGTGCAAACTAAATGATTATTTAGAGGGTTCAATCGATATTAAGTGTAGCAACAAAGGATGAAAAAAGGGTTTCTTGGCAAAGGCCCCTCACCAAAATTTCGTGCTTTAGTCTCTTGACTTTTTTTCTCTACTGTTTTCCAAGGGGCTTCTGCTGGGCTGGACTGAAACAATGGGTTGCCATGGTGATGAGTATCATCCAAGGAAGCATCAGCTTCTTCGTTTTCCTTGTCCTTTACAGGAGAGCTTTCGGCTTTCTCTTCTTCTTGGCGATAGAAAAAAACAAAAAACAAAAAACAAAAAAAAAAAACAAGTGTTACTTCCATATGAAAATGTCCACAACACTCTCTAGGTTTGTTATTTCCCTCCTAAAAATTGAAGATGGATCTCTGATGGATTGAAAGAGTGCTGAACTAGTTTGTTGAATTTCCGTTGTACTACTTGAACCTTAATTTGGTAACTAAATAATATCGTTTGTAAAATTATCGGGACCTTCGTCTACCGGTAGTACAAAAGTTGTATTTAAAGAAAGAGCAATGCTTTATTCTTCGTTAAATTCAAATTCGAAAAAGAGATGTTGGTGTCACTAAATCTGATCATCAAAACTGCAAACTGAGATTGAGGCTTTCTGCAATTTGAGCACTATCGAAGTATTCTCGTATCAATCACTAACTGTATTCGACGTCGGGCGATTTCCTCTACAAATGGAGCAGTTACTGTGTCCAAACTACTCACATTGTTTGCAATAAACGTTTTATTACAATTCAACATAACAACCGCAACTTAATAACCGTCCATTCGTTTGGATTATCATTCTTCAGTCGCCTCGGAAATGACACAAAACTCTTCTGGATCGTGACTGTTGAGATATCTTTATGTGCAGCTTAGTAACCTCGCTTTGTTATGGTGGCGTTCAAGGCGAAGATTGATTGTACTTTGGTTAATATTTTTACCGTATTATAATCAGTAATTCCTCACCAGTCATAGTCAACTTGTTTAGTACTGTCTGATAAAGATTTCCCACTGACAAAAAAAGGGTATAACCTTTGCAACGCTAGACAACTTCACCCGAAACTGAAATGAAAATCATAACAAACTGATCTATAATTACACAGTAAAGTACAATGTCATAATTACTGGGATTAAGGGATTTAATTCTCAGCTGATATCACCAGGAACAATACAACACTTGGCTGTATGCAACAGCTTTTCTCAATGGTATGTAACACCTCATTCCTTCTGAAAGCTAAAACTCATTATTGGCATCTACAAATTGCGGGTAAATGCGACAATAAACTTGGCAATTAATTTAAACAACGTGACGCTTCGATATGGAGATTTCGCTTGGTTCTAATCTTGTTTGACTGTCTAAAATTATATTCTTATCTTTTGAGAATAAGAATTTAAATCTGTGTCACTATTGACAATAAAGAACTATGACCTGTTCACGAGCATTGATTATACAAAGCAGGGCTTTATACCTAACATGTCACTTTCGATTCTCAATATTGATATCCGAGCAGCAAAATATGCTTGAATAAGCGCATTTTGCTTGACAGAAAACTAACACGCAACGGCCCTTGAACAGCTCTATTGCCGGGAGCTTATCACTTATTCAACACTGATCGTAAAACAATAATGACAGGCTAAAATAAGCGTAGTGATGTGCTTCATCGACTGCTTACCTAGATAACTGTCCTCTCTGTCTTGAAGATTTCATCGATCGATGTATCGTCTCAAAACATCCTGTCATCGAATAGTTTCTTTAACTTCGCCAGCTACAGAAACGTTTGCTCGGCGATATCAAAAAGACCGAGGTTAAACCATTCAAAGCTTCAACTGAACAACGTTAGTGGTATCTCTTTTGGTTGTAAATATTGTTGTACGGAGTGCTCCCTCCTTTCAAGAATTACTGAAGTACTTCCGTCTTGATTCCTAGAACTGACGCCAAAGCGAGTCTCGATTTAGAGAAAGCTGTCATAATTTATCACCGAACGAAGTGTCATGCAATCAAGTACACTGAACATGTATTGGGACTTCTGTATTCTGTTGCAACGTATTTGAGACACTTATGAAAAAAAAAAGGCCATAGCAAATATGCAGCAAAGCGTGCTTGCACCTCTCACACATGTACCTGTACCTCACGCATTTTACCTCGACTTGATCTCCTCAGGTTACTTTTAATTTTTGTTTTCAATTTTCCATACGTCCCTAAGATCCTTTTTCCACGCCGCCGCTTAGTGGTTTGAGGGTGTATTGACATAAATTATCCTGCTCTTTTTTGGCTGTCGCAAAGCAAGTTATAAAACGCCATTAATTTAAAGACACTTTTTGTTGTTGAAAGATGATGGGGTGATACTTAAAACTTAGTACGAGCCCGCGTATGACACATTGCGTATCGCACGTAAATCGTTTCATTTTATTTTCAATACAAATTCTCTCATTAACAAATACAAAATATATGTTTAAAAGAACAATTTGCAGTTTTAAATCTAAGGATTTTGGGGGGAGTACGCTAGGCCTTCACGGGGGCGCGGTGGCCTCGTGGTTAGTGCGCTCGTCTCCGGATCGAGCGGTCTGGGTTCGAG